TTGATACAATCCACCAACCTTACTCAGATGTCATCAGTTTCACATGCAGTCATTTGTGTGTGTTTTTATTCTGTGCAGTTTTAGCACGTGTATATTGCATGACAACCACCACAGTCAAGCTACTGAATGATTTGAGACTTATAAAAGAATATTGATTTTGAATCATAGAGGCATTTTCAGAGATTTTTTTTTCCTTATAGAGTTTTGGAACAACACAAACTGACAAAAGAACAGTGGGAAGAAAGAATACAGAACTGGCATGAAGAACATAGGGGAATGCTAAGGTATTTGGCTATTTTCTTAGTGTTATTCCTCAAATTATTTTTATTTCATAACATTTATTATTACATCGAATTATCTCCAAAAGGTCGTTTGACTTATATGAATAAATATAAAGCATTAAATTTTAATCCAAAGTATTTTTGTAATTTGTTTGGTATTAGATACTTTTCCTTAAATATATTACAATAAGCTTTATTTCAACAGAGAAGATTCTATGATGGAATACTTGAAGATTGCACAAGATCTAGAAATGTATGGAGTCAACTATTTTGAAATAAAAAACAAAAAGGGAACTGAATTGTGGCTAGGCGTTGATGCTTTGGGTCTGAATATTTATGAGCATGATGACAAGTAAGTAAATTAGTTGCATAGTGAACTAGTCATTAATCAGTGATCTCTGTGGCTTTAATCTTACATTCTGTTTGTAAAAGTTCTTTTTTGGCTTGATTACTTTTACTACTTTTCTTTTTTTCAAATTTAAGATTAGTTAATGCCACATAGGATTTCAGATACCATATTTCCATCTTCTCAACATCTTGCAGTTTCAGAGTTCTACTTCTCAGTGTATTTATCAAATGGGATGGTTCACTTTTATTTAAAACTGTGCTTCTTGATCTCTTGTGAGTTTGTATCTAGTAATTTAAAATTTGTTCCTCAGTAGGTGAAGAATAATTCTTTAAATGTTATGCCTGGCATATAGGTTGAATTTGAAAGTAACATATATAAGAAATCAGGAGCAATGAGACAATGTGATTAATAGATGTATAATTTATTGTATTTTATAACACCTTTTTTTGAATATTTAATAGGAATTGTTTTGAATATTTTTGGCCATCAATAAAGTAGAATATCCCTGTGTTAAGCATAGTGAACAGTGTAATTTTATTTTGAAATTGCCCAGGTATTAGTTTTTGTATTAATCTAAAATATATCAGATTCTTATAGCACTTTTCAGGAATGATAGCCACAATTGCTTTATACATTAATTTATTTACCATATCACTTAAGCATCCAAGTCTGTGCCAGTAACGCCTTCTCCTAAGGCATTTCTCTTTATTCTGGGTTGGCTCCAGAATTTTACTTTCATTATTACAGATATCTAATAAAATACACATTTGTAAGCCTATACAGTGACTGCAAAAGAGAGCATTTTACTAATTTTACTCTGATATATTTTTTCATTTATATTACAAAGCAAGTTAAAATGCTATATCATTAAGAAAATTTTGAAGTTTTTGAAAAGCAAAAATGACTTCAAGGCTAATTTTTGTGGCCCAAATCTTCTTTTTTTTTTAAAGATTTTATTTATTCACTTTTTCTCCCCCCAAAGCCCCAGTAGACAGTTGTATGTCATAGGTTCACATCCTTCTAGTTGCCGTACGTGGGACTCGGCCTCGGGTTGGACGGAGAAGTGGTGCCCTGGGGCGTAGCCCGGGATCCGAACCCGGGCCGCCAGCATCAGAGCGCGCGCACTTAACCGCTAAGCCACGGAGCCGGCCCTTCTTTTTCTTTATTTTAAAAATTATTGAATTCTATTAGAGTACCCATTATAGACGTGGATACAGATAAAGATGCGGACTATGAAAGAGAGGGGATTAGCTCAGGATAGGAGGGACGGGGATTGGGAATTGTGGACCAAGGAAACTTTGGTCTTACCTGTCATAGTTCAATTTCTTTTTATAATAAGAATGTATTTATCTATTACTTATATTTCCAAACAATTTTTTTAAAAAGTAGAGTACAACTTTAAAAGCTTAGTTAGGCTCTCTTATTAGCTCTGCTACTAATTACCTCTGTGACCCTGTTCAAATTATTAACTCTGAAATTCATATAATTGCCAGGCTTACCTCACAGAATTGTTGTGAGAATTATATGAGGAAATTACTTCAGAATTTTTTAAAGTAACACATAAACATAGTGTAGTATTACCTTAAAAATACTGTTTTAGTAGTCTCTTTTTTAACAGGTAACTTTGACTTATCTCAGTGGCCATTAGAGGGCAGTAAAACGCATGCATATAGAATAAAGAATGTTTTATGTAGGAAAAATTCTTCACTGTGCTTCGGATCCTAATCTGCTTAGGAATTAAAAGGACTGTAAATAGGTAGAAGTTCATGCTTTATTATCAAAAGACTGACAAAAGATATCTTTTGGCCAGCATAGGTGTCACAGTCATTTCACACTCTTGTTATTTGACAACAGTGACACATTTGATGGGTAGTCTGAAAAGGTAAAATATGAAAAGCAGAAAAAATTACTTGTTTCGATCTGATTCCCTAAATCTTTGGGGGTAGGGTGGTAAAAGGGGACAACTGCTGTATAGTCTTAGAATTGAAATTCTAGCTCTACCATTTATCCAAACATTTGTGAGTGTTTAAAATGTTTTTATTGAGATTTAATTCACATACCATAAAATTAATCCTTTTAAAGTGTGCTGAAATTTTAGTGTTTTTAGTATATTCACAGATATCCAAACATTTTAAAACTAAACACAGGAAGGAAATAAAATTTTTTTGTATTTAGTAACATGTCCATAATTCACATGAAAAGTTATAAAGGCTTTCTTTTTTCCCCTCTCTTCTTAAACATGTTGAAACTAACAGTTGTAGTAGCCTGAGTCTAAACAGAGCTAGTGCAAACCCCAAGAGGCTCAGGTCTACACTCTAGTTACTTTTTTCCCTAGGTAATTTTAGGAAAATAAGTATAGTGCTTTCAAGGTTTGTGACACATTTTATGAAATCTTTGGATAGTTATTCTCTGTTTTATGTGATTTAATTGATCAAATTTCACCTTAAAAGATAATGTCAAAAGTATGTTATGAGTAAGTTTGTACGTTTTGAAAATCTGGAAGTCTTTAAGACTAGTCATTCAGTTAAATTCACCCCCAAAAATTGTTATGAATTTTGTCTACTGTTTCCTGCTTTTAATTAAAGGGATGCTTTCATTTTTTTAAGGTTAACACCTAAAATTGGTTTTCCCTGGAGTGAAATCAGAAATATTTCATTTAATGACAAAAAATTTGTTATAAAGCCAATCGACAAAAAGGCACCTGTAAGTAAAATTATTTTTATGTTTTTTGCATTAACTCTAAATTTCTACCACTTTGCTGTGATAGCACTTGAAGAATGGCATTGTTCATTTATTGAATTGCTCCTGAGGAACATTCTCGTTCCATAGTTTAACTTTCCCAGTCATGAAGTAATGAAAGGTTTTAATCTTTTTATAACATATTAGAGTTTTATTTTAACTGAGATTCACCTACAGAGTAGGTAATATTTATTAGGAGGTGGTTGAAAACAATCACCATTCCCAAGAAGCAATTAAAAAAAAACTTGTTTGTTGGTGGCTAGAAATGCATCAGAGGTAGCCCTATTCTAATTAACTCTGTTTATAGTGTTTTGCATTATGAACTTAGTATTTTTATAACTCAAAGCCTTAAACTTAAGAAATCTTCATATTTAAATAGATTCTTTGGTTCCTCTAGTGTCAAGTATACTCTAGTTTTCTAACTCTCTTAGTTATTGAAAAGACAAAAAGATAGGGAGAACATTTCCAGGTTAAAAAACTTAACAGCCCTGAACAAAGGGCCAATTTTGAGATTAATGGCAAAAGGTGAAACAACCAGAAATTCTTCCTCTGAGGTGAAGGGAACAGATGCTCATGGTTACTTTGGAGAAGAAAAAAGAATAAATGACATTTAATGTATTGGGTTAAGATTATTAGCCTCTCCACAAAACTGGTAGGGAATGAAAAGGTGAGGAACCATTTATGTGAAAGCATGGCATACTCACTTGGAGTTACGAGAATTTATGATTTCTAAACTATGTGCAATACGACATTAGAATTCGTGCCACATATTGAAATTTAGTATAGATTATTGTGAGAGAGACTATCCTTCAGGAAGATACTAAATTCAGAATACTTCGTGTTTAGGATTTTGTTTTTTATGCACCTCGTCTGAGAATCAATAAGCGGATTTTGGCCTTATGTATGGGAAACCATGAACTGTACATGCGAAGAAGGAAGCCTGATACCATTGAAGTACAACAGATGAAGGCTCAGGCTAGGGAGGAGAAACATCAGAAGCAGCTGGAGAGGTATGGAATTTATAGCCTTTTATTCTTAATTAATAGGAGTAAGCTATTTAAAATTTAAGAATGCTCAGTTTCTTTAACATACTCTGAATTTACATTTTTACATTATTTTCATTGTATTAAAATTGAATGGAAGTATTATCACCATTCTCTTTTAAAATGACTATGTATAATTTTCAAGTTAGAGATCTTTGACAGATATTGCCGAGAAAATAGCTTTCATGATTTCACAGATTTGCTTTTCTTTTATCATGCTTGCTTTTCACTGACAGTCATTGGTTTGGAGGTAGTAGTGTAAAATTTTCAAGTTTGTTTTGCCTAGTGACTTGTATGTCTTAATTTTTCAGGGTAAGAATGCTGAATATTATGCTTTGAAACAGTGTCAATGACGTCATAGAACTCAAGTGAAAAGTTGCTGAACAGAGTAGAATAACACTAGTACTCTGCCAAGGACACTGATCTTTTTAACCATGGTGCACTTAGATTTTCGAAAAAAGATACTGTTAAATATATTAAATTGAGAGTTTTTGAAATGGAAAGATATTGAATAAAATCCTTGTCAACCCTGGAACCAGATAACTGGGTTCAGCAACATACTTCCCAAATCTGATTCTAGATCAATTTAGACTTTATGCTTTATTTGAAAAAAATTAGAGACCAAATAATGAGGACGTCTTTGTAGAATAACACAGTAATCTAAGAAATAGAATAGGTCCTAAAGAAAGCAAAATTGAGGAGCCCTATGTATAAACATATATTTCAAACATATTGAAAATAACATGGTTTGAATCTAATAATTAAATGGGCCCTCTGCTAGATATAATTTTGCTACCCATACTTTTAGTGTTTGTGTTTAATGATGTATTTTTTTCTTAAATGTTCTATGTGATTCAGGTATTTTAATTCAAATTGCTTCCTTCAAGTTGTCTGCCTTAGAGGAGTTTACTGTATCACAAAACATTTTTTATATAGGCATGAAACTTTCTGGTAATTCCTGACCCCACCATTAAAGAGACTAAGTTGGATTGTTATTTTGACTAGGCTCTGTCGTTTTTTACTGCTCTCATGTGGCTTAAGACTAGAACCACAATGTGAGCCTAACATGCTTTTTAAAAGAGTTCTTTATTGGCTTTACTTTTTATATATTCTTATCTATCATAGCCTTTCCATCTACCTCTCTCAAAGACAAAACTTTTTTTCCCTCCTTCCACCCTCACCCTCACCTTCTTTCTCCTTTCCCTTCCCATCCCGTCTCTAAGGTCTCCCATCGTGAGTTAAATAAGAAATTCTCTCTCATACTCATCACTCCATAATATGTCCTAACTGTTCTGCTTGTGTGTAATGTTGATAAATTATTTACATTCTTAACTTAAATATATTTGTCTGTTTGTCCTTTGTTTCTCACACACAGAGAGGAGTGTTATATGGCTTCTAGTATACGTAGTACGATTAATAAGTACCATTTGGGTGATGGTGCTATATTTGAGTTACTCTAAGGCCTAGATGAAAGTGGAAGACTTTAAGTTTCTTTTTTGACACAATAACAATCCCATGGTTCTTGTCTTGGATAAATTTTACAATCTTTCATTAGGAAGCATTTATTGACTGCCTTGTAAACAGTAGGAATTCAGTAACTGTTTAATTCATTTGCATGCCTAGAGGATGTTTTATGTTAGTCTAGCCACATAGTGGTTTGGCAGGTCTTTCAGAAATGGCATGCCAGGTCTTCATTTATTCTCTGCTATATAGGTCAGAGAGAGAGAAATGATAACTGTATATGTGGAAACAGTTTTGGTCAAGCCCGTTGGCAAAGTAGCCAGCAGGCATACTTGGGGGAATGCTCAGAGGTATGCTGCCTGTGCTGCTGGAATCTCTTGGGCAAGAACAGTAGTTGGGAATGGGGGGCAAGGAAGCCTCCTCTTTTCCTACAATATCTTGGTGTATGTGGCCATATTCTCTCCCCTATCACTTTGGATTTTTTGCAATCAAAATATTATATACCATAGGTTGTTGGTCCGTGCAGTCTGTGCTCTTAAGTTATTTGCATCCAGATTGAATGATGACGCATTCTGTAATTCCTAAATGTTTTTTGTGTGGCTAAAATTATTAGCAAATTTAAAAACTCAGAGCCTCAACTTCACTATTTGGAGTCAGATACCCACGTGCCAGTTGTAGGTAATCTATGAGATATTCTGTGTCATGGCTGGCTGCCTATATCACTAGGCTACAGCTGGTACCACGCAGAATACAGGGTTTGGAGCTAGATAAGTCTGAATTTGAATCCTCTTCTAACACTTGAACAGGTAATTTCTGAGCCACTGTTCTCTTACCCTTGATAGGAAAATAATAGTTCTATCTTCATGGGTTTTTGTGAGAAATAATGACAGTGGTATACAAGCATTTAGCAAAGTATCTGGTGCATAATAAATAGTAGGTATTATAATAATTTTTAATATTATTAATATAGTCTGAATAGAAGTTGAATATAAGTTTTTAATCTTAAGAAAAATAATTGGGTACATGTGATATTCTTTGAAAAGTAAGATATTTTAAAATATTTTATTTTTTACTTGTTAGTATGGAGAATTGATAGTTTATTAATATGTTATTTATGTTGTTGAAATAGAACAGCTTGGTCAAATGAGTGTTTCCAAACTCAAACTCTAAATAAAAATATTTATGGCTGTGGTTTAGAGTAATCACAAGAGGCTTCATGGGGAAAGTGGGACTTTACCAAGACTTGAAAGTTAGAAATAGGCTTGTGAGTTAGAGAGAGGGGAAGATATTTTCAGAAGAGGAAGCCAGCATAAGCAAATGTGTAGGGGTGAGAATATGCACGGCATTCTCAGGGCGCAGTGAGTAGACCAGGTTGGTCCTCGCAAGTGAACAGTGCTTGGTGGAGAAGCCAGCTCTTCCAGTTTCATAAGGGAGATAAGAAAGGCCTGCAAAGATGAGGTGTCACTAAGGGATGTGGAGAGCCAAAGGCATTTGTATTAATTGAATGGAGTGTTATAGTTGGTGATGGCTGTAGTCAGGGGAGAATTCTTATAAGATGGGAGACACAAGCCTCATAAGAGTACAGCAGAGTAAATTTTGTAGAATGTTTTAAATATTATAATCAAGTTAAATATCTGTTGTACGTTTATTTCATTTTTCAGTATAAAGACTAAATCTCACCCCCCCACACACACAACTTGCTTGTGGCCAGGTTGCTTTCAGTCTTTTTTCCTGCTTGCATATCTCCTTACCTCCTCCGTCCTTGAGGAAGAACAAATGAAACATCGATAGGGAAAAGCTAAATAAAACCAGCACCCATCTCCAGAAGGGGCCATATATGTGCCAGAGCTGGACCTGAAAGGTTCTGAGTTACTGTAGCCTTCAGGTCTTCACATCTGGTTTGTGGTGAGTCTTTGTGAAGTGTCTCAGGGCCTCAGGGAGGGAGACAGGAAGGTAACTGTCTTGGGGAACTGTGGCAGCACTGGATGTGGTTGAGCGGAGGCTGGGGCCTGATTGGGTAGGCTAATCAGTGTTCTAGGGTGGCAGGCAGACTGGCATGGAAACCAGTAGCTGTTGGCCATACTAGCAATTACTTGAAAAGTATTGTTTTTGCTTTCATGAACAGCCTGCTTTTTCAGCTTTCTAAAGAATACAGAAAAGGCAGTAGCCTCAGTGGGGGCCACCAGGCCCTTCTTTTGCTTGAGGAAATTAGGAAGCTCAAGCATTCTTTTAAGCCTCTATCACTCGGGTCTTCTAGAGGGGTGGGGGCTCCCAACTCCTTAAATCTCTTTACCTGTGTATACTCTGTAGATTGAAATAGGATAGGAAGAAAGGGGTGAATGTGCTGCGTGCTGAGTGAGCCCAAGTCCGGGAGTGGCGGGGTGGGGTGGGGTTAGTTGTTGACTTTTCCTCCTGGCTGTTGAGAAAGTACTCTGTAGGGAACTCCAGAACAGAGGTGGAGATCTCATTGCATGAATGAACTCCAGGCCCTGGATTCTTAGATGCTATGAAGGTTCATTAAAACCAGTATCGGAGGTGTGGTGACCCTTAAACTTCATATTTTGGCTTGGTGTACTAGGAGGTCACCATCAGTTATCTATCTTACCTCTTGCTCACTTGTCACAACTCGACGTGTTTGCCCCAAAGCTGGACTCTCTCTCTGTGTTGAGGGCAGATAGGTATCTAGGAGCTGCAGGAGTTTTTAAATTTATGTTGATAGGGTAAGAAAAAAAACTTTGATGATAAAACTTTGCCAAAAAGTTTATTAGACATGGGAAGTTGAGAAACTACATGGCTTTGTGCCTAAAATTCAGAATTGACAGCAGATGGCAGTGATGTCTTTTTTGGGAACATTTAGGTGTGCTCAGATAAGTTTCAGAGATGAACTCATCAAATTTTTTTTAACTAAAAAAAAATTATTTCTATTAAAGTGATGGGAATATTGAATATTGATTAAACTTATTAAGTAGACAGTATTATCTGATAATTAACATAGTGTCTCATCTAACTCTTATCTTTATAATCTTTATATTTCTGATCCTCAGCATAGAGTCTGACCCATGGTAGGCTCTTGGTGGGTATTTGATGAATGAATTTGGCTATATTTAAAAGAAACAGTCTCATTAGGCTCATAGGAAGTGCAGCTAAATGATGGAGGCAGTCTTTCCCGCCGGGCTTTCGTGAGAATTTTTGAAACAGCATTAGATACCTACTATCCTTCTAATGGAATTGTCAAAGGAGATAAAACTGATTTGCCATCTTGTAGCTAAGCATAAATTGGTACTACCTTAGAAATTAAACTTGTATTAATTTATTGTTAATGATTGAAAATTGTTGCCCTCCCAGGTTATTTTAACTTTTTGAAGTGAAACAGCCTTGTGTGCTCCCTTCAAGCCTTTGTTATTTCCCCCAATGGAAGACTTCCGCTAATCTAAAGAAGGCATTTTCTTGGGTATGGCAACTGTGCAGTTAACTCCTTTTGTGCTGACCTATAATTTATTGTCAAAGTTTATTGAGTATGCAGGTGATATATCTCCTAATTTTTGTCCCCCACTCAAGTCTGCATTAAAAACATGCTTTGCACACAAGGGATGTTTTTGACAGTTTTACTTTGTTACCAGTTTTGTAAATGTGTCCTTTGAGAATCTTCCTAAAATGGCTAAGTTTTTAATATTTTTTTAAAGTCACTGACTATATTTATTGTGACCCCACAATAAGAAATACATTGTAATCCAGTCTATGTACATGTAACAGAGTAGTCCTATATTTTTAACTATGATTTTTTGAACACAGCTAAGTATAATGAAGACTGTTAAAATATTTATGCTGTAGTTTCTTAGTTGATTCACAGTTAGTACTTAGGTTTCATGTGAATATTTCTATTTATTAATTTGTAACAAAGCAATTGCAATTCCTTTTAAGGGCACAATTAGAGAATGAAAAGAAGAAAAGAGAAATAGCAGAAAAAGAAAAGGAAAGAATAGAACGTGAAAAGGAAGAGCTAATGGAACGTCTAAAGCAAATTGAAGAACAGACGCTGAAAGCCCAGAAAGGTAAAAAAAAGTTCCTTTTTGACATTAGATTCAAAATTGTTACTCTGTTGTCAGATGATAGTATTTCCTTACTACTGTTAAATCTTATTTGTCTTATGTAGAATAATTACATTTATTTGCCAAATTAATACTTAGTGGACTCACATCATAAACAGGTTTCATTAAGGCACATTCAACTGTACAATGCTCATATGTTCTTTCTCTTTCATTTAAGCTCTTAAATATTTGCATGTGTACTTTTATTATATATTGTAGATGACCGTATATATTAATTTATTCCTCTTACTGTTCAGGGTTCCATAACAAAAACATATCTTCAATACTTTCTGGCATTTAAACAAAAGCATTTATGCAGTGCTTTATGGATATTTAAGTACTTTAAGGCATCTAAGTAATTTAAAGCATTTTAAGTTATTCTGACTATATAAACTCTTTTGAAACAGTCTCTAAATTTGATTTCAGTATATTAAAAAATACACAACACGTAGAAGTGTTGTGGTTTTTTGTTTGTTTTTGGTAACATGGTTGGAAGAACCTATCTTCTAGAGTATATAACCAAAATGCTATGGTGTATAGAAAGGATACATTGGATTTAGAGATTGTGGTTTATATTAAGTAACTCTAGGATATTCTACTTTCAAACATCTAATAGTGGGGAGAACAAAAGAAAAAAGGTATTGGGCAAAATAAGATGTTTTCCTCCTTCTTAAGCAGTAGGATCTTGTGGGTAACATGAAATCTACACTATTTATAAAACTAGAATTAATACCTGCTTTCCTGACAAGTCGTAGAATCAGCCAGTAGTTCTACTGGAAATAGAATAAGGTTATTAGTGTATTTAATGTTATTAAATAATAACCTTATTTAAAGTATAAAAATAACCTTATTTAAGGTTTATTTTCATTTCTTACACCAGCCTAGTGGTGGAGCAATGTTCTTTAGCAGTGGGTAGAATAATTTGCAAATGGGTATCGGAGTCACAAAGATTGCTATAAATCCACGAACTGGTTCATCATTCCAATTCTAAGAGGACTGAAAATAATATTTCTAAGAGAAGAAATAGAAAAAACCTGGATTTTATTCTCATTAGAAGCCTCACTTCTCAGAGCTAGAAAAGACCTAGAAACTATTTAGTTCAAAGCCCAGAGGTAGTAAAAGAGACTTTTTTGCAGGCCACAACACAAGGGCAGAACTTGTTTCCTGAGTTCCAACTTGATGCTCTTTCTACTGCTTTACGTGCCTTTTTCATCAATTAAAGCAGACATTCATGAAGTGCTTCCTTTGTGTTGCATTTTAGGATACAAATAGATAGCATTCATGGAAGTCCGTGTGGCTGGCACAAATAAGATATATTATACATAAATATTAATAAAGTGAAGTAATGAATTGGTGCCATGTGACTAGTATAAGCAATACTTATAAAAGTATTCCTTCCTATAAAGGAAGAATGCTTTAAAAAAAATCTAGAATGTACTAAAGTGTGTTTTAAAAAAAGGAAAGTTTAAAGAAATTTATGATACTGGTCTGATTTTAGAGAAAAGATTGAATGATAGCACTTTCATTTACATAATACCTTTTCTGAGAGAATGGCTACTTACTAAATCTTTCAATCTTATTTATTTAGGATGTATAATAAAAATATTAATGATTTACATACAGAAAACTACTCAAGTAAAGAAGCGCTAAAGAATATAAGGAAGATAGAACATAAGAAAGAATATAGAACATCCCTATCAAGACAATTTCAAATCAGTCATCTTAAGGCAGAGCACACCTAATTTGTTTTTTCTTTCTTTTTTCCCTCTAATAAAGCTTTCCCAGGCTGTCCTAAAATCTGCATGATTGTCTTGTAATTTATGCTAAATTCTTATTCAAATGCAGTAACTCTGGCCATCTAAGTCATGATATTTAGTAGATGAACTTAGAATTTTTTGTTTGAGAAGAAACTTTTCTATACTTCATTATTGTCACTTTATTTTTTAAAATTCTTTTATTGAAGTCATTATTATTTGAAATGAGTCACAAATCATTAAATAGAACCATTCCACCATTTTACATTTCCATAATTCATAATTGTTAAATTATTTATCTTCTTTTATCATTTTTTAACCATCTGTAAGATATGTTAGTGACTATATTTGAGATATAATACAGTCAGAATTGCATTCAGTTACTATTTCAACAAATATCAAAGTGAATTCCCACCTTCAAAAAGACAAACCACAGGAAGGAGTTGGGGTATAGTGATTTCACTCATTCTGGATACTTATTGAGCACCTAGTGTGTACTAGGCACTGTTCTGGGTATTGGGCTACAGCACCAAACAGATAAAGTCCCTGCTCTCACATAGCTTGCACTTTATTAAAGACAGCAATCAACTTAACAGATAATAAAAATCATTTTATGTAGTTTTAAGAGCTATGAAGGAAGTAAGCATAATAGTGTGATAGAAGTAGTAGTTGTGAGTAGGAGGGCATTGTCTGCTTTAGATATATATTGTTTACAAATAGGAGCCAAGCTTTAATTCTGTCATTTATTTAGAATATGACCATAAGCACGTCATTTTGACCTCTTGATTTCTTAGGTTCCTAGTTTCTCAAGTGGAAGTAAATAATCTCTAACTTAGTTTTCTGAGATTTTTTGAAATTTATAGTTATATTAAAAAATTTTTTTTTTCATTCAGCTATAGCATAGATACAGTGATGTGCATACATCTTAGGAATAAGGCTCAATGAATTTTTACAAAGTGAGTTTATCCCTGTAACTACCCAGAACAGGATACAGAACATTACCTGCATTTAGGGAATCTCCCTTCCCAGTCATTTTTTCACCACAAATGTGACTTATGTTCTGATTTATATCATCATAGAGTTTAGTCTTACCTATTTTTTTAAAAGCTTTGTTGAGATATAATTCACATATCACACTATTAACCATTTAAAGTGTACAATTTAGTGGTTTTTAGTATAGTCACAGGGTTGTGCAACCATCACTGCAACTTTAGAACAATTTCATCACCCCAAAAAGAAATCCCATACCCATTAGCAGTCACTCCCATTTCTTCCCAGTCCTTCCTCCCCCAGCCCTAGGCAACTACTAATCTAGTATCTAGCTCTATAAACTTTCCTCTCTGGACATTTCAGATGAATGGAATCATGCAAGATGTGGTCTTTTGTGACTGTCTTTCACTTAGCATAGTGTTTTCAAGGTTCATTCATGTTATAGCATGTGTCAAGCACTTCATTCTTTTTTATTGCTGAATAATACTCCATTCTATGGATGTATACTACATTTTACTTATTCATCTTTTGTTAGACATTTGGGTTGTTTCCACTGTGTGGCTGTTGTGAATATGTTGCTATGAACATTTATGTACTGGTTATTGTGCATTCATGTGTTTTCATTTCTTTGGGGTATAAACCTGGGAGTGGAATTGCTGGGTCATATGGTAACTCAATGTTCAACTTTTTGAGGAACTACCAAACTGGTTTCTAAAGTGACTGTACCATTTTACATTCCCACCAGCAATGTATGATTTCTCTACACCCACACATGTTAACATTTGTCTTTTGGATTATAGTCATCCTGATGGATATGAAGTGGTTTTGGTTTGCATTTTCCTAATGACTAATGATGTTGAGCATCTTTCCATATGCTTATTGGCCATTTATATATCTTTGGAAAATGTATTTTCAGATTTTCTGCCCATTTTTCAATTGCTTTGTTTTTTTATTTTTGAGGTGTAAGAGTTTTTTTATATATCTGGGTACAAGTCCCTTATCAAATATCAGATTTATGATTTGCAAATATTTTTTCCTGTTCTGTAGGTTGTCTTTTCACTTTGTTGATGGTGTTCTTTGAAGCCCAGTGGTTTTAAATTTGTATGGAGTTCAGTTTATTTATTTTTTCTTTTGTGGCTTGTGCTTTCAGTGTTATGCCTGAGAATAGTCTTGCCTGTTTTTGAATTACGTATAAATGAATTCACGTACTCTTCTTTTTGCTCAAACTTATGCATGTAGCTATAGTTCTTTTATATTCTTGTGCACCTGTATACCACAGTTTATCCATTCTACTGGTGATGGACATTTGGGATATTTCCAGTTTTGGGCTATTATAAAATAAGGTTGTTATGAGCATTCTTGAACACAGAACTTATGCATTAGTTTTTGGGAGGCACACACCTAGGAGTGGAATTGCTGGGTCACAGCTATGCTCAGCTATAGTGGATACTGCCACCATTTTTCCAAAGTGATTGTATCACTTTTCATTCCTACCAGTAGTGAATGCAAGTTCATTTGCTCTACATCTTCACCATTACTTCCACCACTTGTTATTGTAAGGGTTTCTGTTTTGTTTTGTTTGGTTGGTTTTTTTAGCCATTCTGGTGAATACAGTGCATTTTCTTGATGATTGATTATTTTGAGCACCTTTGCAAACGCTTATATGTGTAAACTGCCTTTTCACGTCTTTTGCCCACTAAAAAAATAAGATTTTCTTCTTTTATTGATTTGTAGGCGTTCTTACATATATTGTAAAAAATCTTCTCTCCATAGTTTACCTTTTTACTCTTAATGATGTCTTTTAATGAAGAGAGGTTCTTAATTTTAAGTTCCAATTATCACTGTTTTCTTTATGGTTGTGAATATATTGTTCTTTACTACCTTCTAGAAACTTTGTTTTACCTTTCACATTTAGGTCCACAGTCCATATATGTAACTGATTTTTGTAAGTGTCAAAGTATATTTTTTCCCAAATGTATTTCCAGTTGACTCAAACTCATTTATTGCAGACTGTCCTTTCCCCATTGTACTATAGCATCACGTTTTTCACAAAGCCAGAAGACTGTATATGTATGGGTTTGTTTCTAGACATGTTATCTAGAGAGATTTGCAACTGACATGTCTCAGAAATGAGTAAGAGGTATAAAACAAAATACATGCAATCAGTGCACAGTAGGAAGCATATTTCAAAGACAAGGCAATTCTTGAGCTTCCATATTA